CATAAAGCCTCTTGATTTGGTTAACTATAAATAAGCAGGATTACTGTCTAAAAACTGCTCTCCACGATAAAATGGAGACCAGCAAGCTTCATGAAGGCAGAGACATGCGCTCTTGTGCTTCTTGGTGTTACTGCCAGCCCAGTGGAAGGCTGCATGGCACACAGGAGACACTGAGTAATATTTATGGAATTAAGTATTTAGTTACATTGTTACAACTACACTCTTAAAAGACACCAAATCAGAGTAACATTTCTTTCCCTTTCACTTATTTCCATTACTAAATTTTCATTTATAAAAACCCATGTTAGAGGGGCCTCCCTGGTGGCACAGGGGTTAGAGACAGTGCTATCCAGCTACTGCCAGCCACTGCAGCACAAGTTCGATCCCTGGCCGGCCAGGGAGCAAACCACATGGTACAGCAGACCTCTTGTGCCTCGCCCACTGCTCCTCTCAGCAGTGTATTTCAATACATCTGCCTGTTCTGCTCCCCACTCTCTCTGGTGAATGCTCTCACACTCCGCAACTCTAACTTGTACCCCAGTTCTTGTATGCATAAATAATAAATCTTTAAAAAAAAAAAAACCCATGTTAGAATAAAATGTCTAGTGATTTTTAACAATTGGGTCTAAATAAAGTTATTATTAAGTAAACACTTATTTTTAAACTGACTTAGATGCAGTGCCTGTATTCTGTGCTGGTTATTCTGAAAGTCAGGTGCTCACAACTATTCTAGAGTCCTATAAAAATCTAAAGAATGTAAACTTTCACAAGTGCCACTTCTGAAAAGCCCCTTCCAAGCATCCCGTGGGGACACATCACTCAGCTCTGACTGCTGCCAACCTCCTGGTGCATGTAAAGAAATTCCGACAAACTCTAAGCTGTTCTTAATTTCTTCAATGTACCCTTAATGGATGTTAACAACAAAAGGCCCACCCTCTTTTCTCCTACATGCCACATTTTCTTTCTTAAATATATTTCACCTATATGTTTGTTTAGCTAGGCCTAACTAGTCCACACAGTATTCTTTATATTAATATTCACAGAGTAAAATCCATACTTTGGATTTTTAAAAAATTCATTATATAAAATACTTCCGAATAAAGTTTATATATTTATAAATTGATTCTACCCATAGCTTAACTAGGAAAAACATCCCAATTTAGGATTTCATTGTTGTTATTTATTATTAAGTTGACCAGTAGAGGGCACTCATTTGAAAGGGGGAAGAGCTGGCCATACTCTTGAAAAGAAATGTGTTACAAAGGTGCTGTATATATATATACACCATACCTTATTTTAAAAAAAGAAAACGCTTTTTAATAGAACATTAGAGTAAGTTAATATAACATGTCTTTAGTTTATGAAAGGTGAAGCTTAAATCCTCATTATGTTACCACATCTAACAGAAACCTTATTCGGGGACTTGAACTTGACAATTTAAGCAAAGTTAAAAGTTGTATGTAATACAGATTAGGGTCTCAGCTTCAGTATTACTGACATTTTGGGCCTGGGAATTATTTGTTGTGGTGCTGCCCTATGCATTGAAGGGAGTCTGCAGCCTCCCTTGCCACTGCCCACTTACTACAGATGCCACTAGCCATCTCCCTCCCTTCTCAAGTTGTGACAACCCAAAATACCTCCACATATACTGCCAAATGTCCCCTATGGAACACCAGTCACCCACTCACTCCTCACTGAAAACTGCTGATGCATATGTATAAAAACAGAAAAATGACAGCTTACATAAGATGTAAGAGTTCTCTTATACCACTTTTCAACAGTGCTTCACATTATGACTTTTCTTTCTATAACCTAAACATCTTACTCCACAACTAAAATAAATTCTATAATTAACATGGAAAAATAAAGAAACTTATGAATCTTGGTGAATAAACACTCTACAGCTCAAAGATCAAAAGAGGGAACAAATCAATCCAATTATGAATCCATTCTTCCTTACTCAAGAGGATACTTCATCAAACAAGGCCTAACACTTGGACTGAATTTTAAGTGTCATATTAATAGAACCATGCAGATGTCAAAATTAGAACCTGGGGAAAAAATATTTCTTTCTGCATTATTTTTACTGCCACATTATATCCAGTGGATACACATTACATCTTTGCTAGTCAATCAACTGATGGTCTGATTTCTGTGTCTGTAACTGCTTATATTTTTTAAAAGTAAGGTTTTTCTTCTACCAGTTTAATCTCTGAAAAACATATGTCAGGAAATATGTTCTGCTAGTAGTGGGTGAGAACATGTATTATTTCTAACCTGGTATTGTGCTGGGGGCCTACTGCTTTGAGTTTTTAGATCTTGCCCCACTAATGTGTTACTTGTTATCTCCAGAACTCTTTGGTGGACTTCATTAAAGATAACAGCAAAACCTTTCAGAATAGAAAGTAAAGGTGATCATGTGCACAATCTCAAATATAAACACATTCCACCTGTGTGTCAGACCTTTCTAACTCTGCATCACCTCTCTCACAGTAATAGGTCTTTAAACAGTAATCCAGCTCAAATTCTAGGATCTCGATAAATCAATGTTACAATTTTCTTAGCTTGAATGTCAATTTTTCACTTAAAAAAACAATATGGGGGTATAGTAGAAATCCCACTTAACTTAGTTGCAGAAAATGTAAATCAAAATTCTACCACATACCAGCTAAGTATCATCAAGCAGTGACAAGCTCTCAAAGACCATTTTTATCTACAAAAGGAAAGCAGCAATGACCACCTTCCTTATCTCACTATAAATCTTTGAAAATTCTTGACCACTAGATATTACTTGATTTTAAAACGTTTTTCTAAATTTCTTTCCATCTGTTCTGCTTTTAATGCAGGAAAGCTGATGAGAATTCCAAATGTGCGAAGTCTGACCTGCTTTGTTCACCAGTCAAAACCTACAACAGCAGTAACATCCCCTCTTCTCTTGTAAACTTTTTACAAAAACATCAAGTCAGCATTTTTACTTAACTACTTAACTAAAATAAGCTACTAAATTCTCCTGCCTTTCTATAGCTGAACTACACCACAAATTCAATGTATTAGTTCCCTCATAGACTCACTGAAACTTGGGTGATAATGATCTCTGTTACCTTTTCCCAGGTGGCTAAAGAGTGAGGGAAGGTCTGTTTCAAAGTTCACGGGTAATCAATGCTTCCCAGAGCCAAGTCTTCTGGTTTGGCAGCAATCACAAGAGTTATGGGTCCGAGTTTATAAACTTTTTCTACCTTCCCCCAAAATACAGTATTGACTTGAAGCTTTAGTTCTTTTAGATTTAGAGCGAAGATTAACAGAAAGTGTCTTAACCTAGTTAGTTTATCACGTTATCTCACAGCACCCATGATTTCTGATAGGAAACAGAGTGTAATGGAATTCCTCAAATTTTCAGCGAAGATGGAGGTCACTTTTGCTAAAATAGACTTCCAAAATCCCAGGAAAACTTTCACACTTCACCCGGACGCTATTAAAACTTCCTTTAACATCTGATTTAAATGGTAGCACATGCCAAGTAACCCTGGCTTTAGAAATAGGCGAACTAGAAATGGCTTTGAAATGAGCAAATTATTTAATTCTCCTCAAAGAAGAAAACCAAACCAAACCATCATAAAGCACTGAACAAACTTGTCCAGAGGAACTACAGAATCCATTACATAGGGGGTCCACTCTGTGCAAATGGTTCACTGTTCCCTTTGCTAATGTGAATTTTTACACTTGGAAGCCAAGTGTAAGTTGCTTTTGTACTTAAATGTTTGCACACAAGCACTTTTCCCATTTTTAAAATAATATTCAAAAACTTGGCATTTCGTTATGAACCATTATTTAATCAATCCTCAAAGTTCTAAATTGCATCAACATCTTTCAAGGTTGCCAATGCCCTCAGAATCGACCTCAATGCAATCACAGAGTTTCCTGGGACTCAGAAAATTCTGGGAAATATAGAGAGCTGATTTTTTAAAATGGTATATCAGATCTAGAATAAAAGCTAAAGAATGAGGACTACTTAATCTGGGATAATTGAGACTAGCAGCATTAATCTTTTTCAAAGATTAATATTTTATCTCCATCTCCATTCGTGTCAAACTTGATGTGACGATTCACACTGTGCATAAAATACACAAATAACCACATTCTGGAAATGAGTTAATAACAACATCCCTTCTGCAGGTCTTTGGGATTAAATAAATTCTGATCTGAAATAATCTGGGTAGAGTGCTGAGCGGGGTAGTAGGAATTAAGACCTGACTGCTCAAGGTCTCTGTTCCAGGGCTTTATTTTAGCATTTTGCAGTTGGTCTTTACTTTCTAGTTTTCATGAAACTAAAAACAGTCTGAAAATTATTCATTAATTAATCAGTTTGTAATAAAATGGAAAAAACCACCATAACATTTCCCTGAGTAAATTAAAAAAGGGCTGCAGAACAAAGCTAAGGACTTATAAAGGCTTATAGATCAGTGGATCTACATACCGAAAAGAATGAGCTCATTAAAAAATCAGGGACATACAGGGTCTCCACTACTATAAGGTGAAGTGAAAACAGGAAAACACTACTACCTAAGTTGGTTTTTTCCCTACCATTCAACGATTACACTTCACCAGTAAATTCAATTCTTTCACATGTGATGTCAAAATATTGAGAAATCAATAAAAAGAACAGTTGCATTTTTTTAAAGCGACTTTTAGTTACAGGTAAAATGTAACTTAATGTTTTCACTCTCACAAAATTCTTAAGTACACTTCGAATCAAATGTACATATGCTAATACAAAATAGACATCACGGACCCTGATACTCTTCTAGGAAAAGCAGACCTCGCTCTACCTCTGCAGAGTTAAAGCCCTGAAATCCAAGAACTTTTCAGGTATCTTAACAGAACTATTTTCAGTATAATTGCTTGTAAAGAGTACTCACAAAAAACGATCAGAGAAACTTTTTTCTATACCCAAGGGATGGACCCACACAAATCAATATGCATAATATTAAAACAAGATTTACCTCTATCGTAGGATCATATTCATCCACAAAGTGATTCTGAATTAGCTGTATCGTCAAGGCACTCTTGCCTACGCCACCAGCTCCAACTACCACAAGTTTATATTCAGTCATTTTCAGCAGGCCTTATAATGAAAATAATGAAAACGTGACTTACATTAGAATATGCATCACACATGAGAGGTTGCTATAACCCAAATACTCTATTATCAATGCCTTTTAACACAGTTTCATCGCCAAGTAGAAAATCATTTCAAAATACCTGACAAAATTCAATTGAAAACTTCAGTTGGCTACAGATGAGTAATGAATTATAATGTTATTTTACAAACTCTTCCACCAACATTTGAGAGAAACGCATTCAGGGTAAATCTTTTATCTTATTTTCAGGCTGTTTTATCTAAGCAGCCATTCTGCTGTTCTGTAGCAGCTAATGGCTCTCAGAGGAACAAGTGATGACTTCACTCAGTGCAAGCATCTCACCTGGTGCTCTATACCCTGTAGACACTCCCACATAAGTCCTGAGGAGAGCTATCTCCACAGGATTTCTAGCTGGCTCTGGTCTCTGAGAGTTACAAATGGGTAGGCTGAGCACTAGCTAAAGAGAACTTTTTGAAAGCACAGTAGTTCTCTTGGATACACAGTAGTTCTCTAGTTAGCAAGGATCAGATGCAGTTAGGAAAAGAATATCAAATAAAAACTGGATTGTGTAGTGGGGAAATAGAAACTGAAACACCGAAAGAGATAAGGACCATATTTGATGGCATTTTAGTCTATAAAATATGTGGTGGGGGGAAATAAAGTTGCAAAATCTAAGAGAACTTGGAGAACTCAAGCTAACTATTCAATCAGTAATCATAGTATATAATCCTAGATTAGTGCTAAAACCAGCACTCTGTGCACAAGAAAAATATAATTATATGAAATTTAAAGATAAGCACTGTTTTTAATGGGAGAATTTTAAAACATAACTGGATAATTCTCAGTCATTCAAGACTTTTTCTTCTCTGCTGCTTCTACACTGTTTCCCAACAGTCGCATAAATATTGACAGAGAATGGTTTGTTAGTCAGAGAACGGTTTTTTGGTCAGCGGTTATATAAACTGAACTTATTTAATTTTATCTTTTTATATGATACTACAAACTTGGAATGAACTATAGGAAGAATGGCAGTAAATGCACAATCATTTTTCATAAGGAGTTCCAAATGAATGAATTTGCAGGTACAACACCATAGCCCTGCAGAATCCAATTTACTGAAGACTAAGAATTGCCCAAACAGTTATCTAAAAAACCCCAAAATGATAATCTGGTGATCACATACTAGCCAGTCCCCATTGCTGAGCCCCTCTTACAAAGACTAGGAATGGGACAGGTGCTGTCACTGTCTATTCCATTACAGCTCCCCTGCCTTCCCGGTGCTCACCTGCAGCCCCCATAGGAGCCCATTGCAAACTTGTACCTTATTCTGTTCATGTCCACTTTTTATTCCAAGGAGAGATGCAGCAAATGGGACAGATGAGGAGAAGCACACCAAAATATATAGTCTAGCTCTCTGGCCATCCCACTCCTTCCCCTGAACACAATTTGCCTAGGCTAGAAGAGCAATTCTCAAAATGTGGCCCAGGCACCCACTGGGGTTCCTAAGACTTTTGGGGGGGCCCTCATATTATCAATATTTCACAATGCACAGACACAATTTTCCAGACATGTGTTCACAATAGACTGGTGCAGAAGCAGACAAGAGGCTGCAGACGTCTTCTATGAAGCCTATAATTAAAGAGATTTGCAAAGTATGAAACAATACCACTCCCTCACTAATTTTTGTTTTGAAAAATATTTTCTATAAAAAATGCTACTTTTGTTACCAAATTACAAGTTTATTAGTTCTATTTTGAAACAATAGTTTTTTTTTTTTTTAATTCAGCTTTAATTTCTATTATTGTAAATATTGACATACCCCACACTGGGGTCTTGGATAATTTTTAAGTGTATAAAAAGGTCCTTACAACCAAACGTTGACCAGTCTAGACGCTACTGTGGACAGATACTGGATTAGAGCTTCGTTGTATATACATGTGTGAATTCTGAGACACACACCCCTTCTGGTGTACCTATTTATGCAAGGGTTGTTTATCACAAAAAAAACCAAACAAACAAAAAAAAACATTTCGAGTTGAATTTTTAAAACCAGCTATGTAAGTTCACCAGAGAACTGGCTTCCCAAAAGTCTTACTGACCATCATAGGCCAGGAAATACCTCACTTAAAGCTCCAAAAGTTAGCAATGGGTGAAACTGGGACCAGAACCCAACACTTTGTTAAGGAGGAAAAAATTCACTTTTGTTAGAAAACTGAATTATCATCTCCTCGACCATCTATTTAAAGTATGCCTGTGGATGGTTAACAGACTCAAACAGCATGGCTAGCAACCATACTGCATGTCTATGGTCTATTACACGTCTCAGCATTCTGGACCTCAGTTACCTACAATGACATCACTCACAGGCTTGATTCTGAAATAATTACCAAAGGACTTTTTTCCCCTTGTAGTTTCTGTTTAAAAAATGATTGCTTTTCTATTACAATTGTAACATATACATATATATATATATATATATATATACAGTATAAAACTTAGAAAACACCTCCCTGTTCTTAAGCCCTTGTTCTGATGGCTATCGAGATTCCCCAGGCTAGTGCAGGATGCCAGCTCCCCGAGCACATACCTGAGAGAATTTCCAGCCCTGGGCTGGCTGACTGCTACAATCAACTCCTCTGGCAAGTCAGTTTTTTCTTTTTCTTTCTCTTTTTAATTGTGTGCGCGAGAGGTGTAGGAACACCGCGCCGGGACCGCTCGGGGTGCAACGCGGCCGGGTGATGGGGACACAGAAAAGCAGCAAAGGCCAAGAAAAGGCAAATCAAACTTCCCGAGACTCCAGCCGCGCTGCGGTCTCCGCTCCCCCCGCCACGGCAAAGCCCCGCCGTCGAGCTGCGGGTCGCTCCCGCGCGCCGCACTTGCCGCCCGCACCGCGGGCCCCCGGGACGGACGCCCCTTTCCCACGGGCCCGGGCCGCGGCGGGGTGCGGGCCACCTGTTCGGCCGCCTCCGCCCGCACCTCCGCCGCCTCCTTTGTGGCCGCGGCAATGTCACCGCCGCGGTGGGGGAGGGGAGCAGCCGGCGCCGGCCGCAGAGGCGCCCCCCGCCCCCCGCCGCCCCGGCGGTCTCCCCGCACTTTCCCGGGCGCCCCCGCAACGCCCCTCCGCGCCGCCCCGGGGCCCCCGCCCGGCGCGGCCCGCGCTCCCGGGAGAAGTTTCCACCTGGGCGCGATGCGGCGCCGCGGGCGGGCGGGGGGCGGGCGGGGGGCGGGCGGGCGGCGGGGGGCGCGGGCCCCGGAGGCGCGCGGGGCGCCGCGGCCGGCGCGGGAGGAGGAAGGAAGGGGCTCCCCGTCCAGGAAGCGGCCCCGCGGCGGCGCCTCCCGCCGCGCCCCGCCCGCCCGCCCGCGCGCCCCGCCGCGCCCCCGGCCCGCCCGGCCCGGCCCGGCCGCGGCGCCCTCCCCGCCCCCCGGGGACCCCCAATTCATTCACTCGCGCCGGCCCCGCCCGGCGCCCGCGAGGACGGCCGGCCCCGGGCAGGGGCCCGGGAGGGGAGGCTCCCGTACCTCTCTCCCGCCCCGGGAGCCGCCGAGCCTCCGGGCCCGCCGCCGCCCTCAGCGCCCGCGCCGCGCTCGCTCCGCGTCCGAAATGGCGGGGCCGGGAGTCCTGGCCGAGCCGCCGCCGCCGCCGCCGCCGCCGCCGCTGCTGCCTCCGCCGCCGCGGCCGCCGCCTCGGGAAGTCGAGCGCCGAGCGCGCCGATGGGCTCGGGCCGGGCGGCCGCAGAGGGCAGAGCGATCGATGCGCTCGGCGCGCGGCTCCGCCCCGGGCGGGCGTGCGGGAGGGCGCGGCGGAGGGCGGGGTGGGAAGGGCCGCGGGCGCGCGCCCAGCCGGGGTGCGGGGCCGCGCGCTCGCCCGCCCACCCCCCGCGCGGCCTAGCCGGGCCCGCCCTGCGCCCCCGGCGCCCCTCTTCGCCCGGGTGATGTGGTCCGAGAGGCAGCGCGGATCCCCCCGCCCCGGCGCCCGCTCGCGCGCACAGCCCCGCACAGGCGCTGGCTGCAGGTAAACACGCAGGCTGGCCGCAGAGGGGGCGGCCCCGCCGGGGACCCGGAGCCTCCGCAGCCCGAGCCCCGCCCCGGCTCGCCGAGCCCGAGCCCCGCGCGCCGGGGACCGCCGGCCTGCACCCGGGGACCCGGCCCTGCCGCGGCCGCGCCAGCCCGCCTGCCTCCGCGCTGCTCTGGCGGGGCCGGGAGCTCAGGGGGGGCTGTAGTTGTCTGTGAGGGTGTTTTGAAACCGTCATATAAGACGGTCTAAGTGGGGACCTCAGATGCCCCCAGGCCCTGACTGCGTTGAGTAGACAATGTAATTTTAAGTAGACGTGCCCTTGATAGTGTATGAGATGAATCAGTTAACACAGAAAACAATGGGGCAATTAAGACGGTCAGCATACCCAGTGCCTGCGTGGATGCGCTGCCTAGGAAGGCAGATTGGTTAGGGGAGTTTTCAAGATTGAGGCCTGGCTGGACTGAGGCCTCTAACAGGACCAGCCATCTAAGTCTGCCTAACAGTTGTCCCTTTCTGCATAAAACCCAAGTAAAACCATTATTTTAAATACCAACTTTTTTTTTTTTTTTTAAGATTTATTTATTTATTTATACAAGCACTGGGTGCAGTCAGAAGCGCAGGAGGGTGAGAGAACTCACCAGAGCCAGAGCGGGGAACAGAACAGGCAGACTGATGAAATACAATGCTGAGGGGAGCAGCGGGCAAGTCAGGAGAGGTCTGCTGCGCCATGTGGGACCCTCGCTGGTGGCCTGGGATCGAACTGGCGCTGCAGAGGCTGCGGGCAGCCTCTCAGCCCAGCGTTCAACCACTGCGCCACCAGGGGAGTCCCTAAATACCAACTCTTAATGTCTGTGGGCCTAGGCCTTATCCCAGCTGTCTCCTTTTCTTTCCTACCCCTCCTGTGGGCTGCAGTGCACTGGGCTCCTTCCTGTCTGCATCTGGGAGACCTTTACCAGGTGGAAGAGGCAGAGGAGTAGAGGTAGAGCAGACTGGGAAGGGAAAAATAAGCCTTCTCATGCCAAGTAGTTCCTAAATGTTTTGCACCATATTTAATCATCACAATAACTACCTAAGTCGAATGCTTTTCACAATTTTACAGGCATTAGAGAGGTAAATGTCAGGCTGAAATGTTCATGTCAGGTCACACTCACTCCTCTGCCCCCAACTACCAGTGCCTCCCACTTCATCCCACTTAACAAAAGAGCTTTTTATTATCTGACACTACTTTCCTTTTACTTTTCTGAACTCTTATCCTTCGCTTCTCTTCCTCACTCACACAGGTGCCCGGCTGTTGCTTTAAAGTGCCAGGCAGGCTTCTTCCTCAGGGAATTTGTACTTGCTGCCCCTCTATCTGGAATAAGTCTCCACCGTTCGATACACATGTTTACGAATCTTTGCTCAGATGTCTTATATCTTCTGCCCAAATTATCACCGTTGATAACACAACTCTCCCTGCTCTCCCCAAATCCTATCTTTCTTCCTGCTTTCTTTTTCTTCAGAGAACTTAACACTTTATAATATACCAGCATCTATTATAATATTTATAGGTATAATATAATACACTTATCACCTACTCATATACATACCTTACTTTCTTTCCTTGACACCTGAATATAATCTCAGTGAAGGCAGGTATTTTTGTGTCTTACTTACTCCTCTATTTAGTGCCTATTACACAATAGGCATTTAATAAACACTTGTGGCATGCTGAGTAAATGAAGTTATGAACCCTCCTTCTGGACTCTGTGACTCTACATCCTGATTTAGAGTGCCTTAAACTTGCTGTAATCGCTATTTTCACCTTCTTCCAAAACCTACCTTTAAACTCACGCTAGTCCCATTCTGATAAACCACACCCTAAGAAGTCTAGAAAGATTTCTGCACATACAGACACGATGAGTGTTTGTAAAATCAGTGACTCTGCACTTATTTTACATGTTGCTTCGCAGTCACTCATGTATAATTCACAGGTTTATTTTGTGCAACTTCAAGTACATGATAAGTTTTTGTTTTCTCTGACAGCTGTTAATACAATGTTCTCCCTGTAGTTGGTGTTCCATAAATGTTAAAGGACCACACTAGAGAGAAAGGAAAGCTTCTGAATGTACTTTATGCTGATTATAAAGATTTTTGCTTTAGCAGGAATCTAAGCCATCTAAATGGTCTTCCTTTTCATATAGGCTCATGATTCTCAAAGCTAATCTGCACCCCACTACCTGCCCCCAGGCTTATACTACAGCCTCTTCTCAGACACTCTTTCTCTTTTTTCACTCCTACATAATTTTAGATATATGTGATGTCAGCCCTCTACCATGCCAGCAACCCCCTCCCCACACTCACTTTCCTGGACATAGAACTTGAGAAGTAGATGTGACAGTGCTTTGTGAATCACATGGCACTCTCACAAAATGCATGGTCACAGGCCCTCACCCAGCTGTTCCATTCAGTTGGTCTAAGGGGAATCCAAAAATCTTCATTTGTAACATATCAGGTGATCCTAGGCTGGTGGTTAGCAGTCTGTAAGGGAGAACCTCCCATGCAGATACTCAAATTCCTCTCTTCTCCTCTAGCAGCTGTACCTTCTATTATCTTTTGGGGTAATCACTTCCTTAAGCCTGGTGGCTGCACTGAATAGTCACCCTGGGTCTCCTGCTCTTTGTTCTCCGCAAGAATAAGCCCCCAGGTCCATGCATGATGGGGAAGGACAGCAAAATGGACACCCTTGTGCACTCCAGCTTTGCTCCACTGTGTTGGTCAAGGTTATATCCTCTTCCCTTATCCTTTTCTAGGAAAGCAACCCCACACACAAACACACGCATGCACACCCTTTGATCCTGCTCGGGGAAGAGCACACCAAGCCTGCCTTCTCAGGATACTCTCTTCTGCAGATACATTCAAAGCCACATCGACCAAATGCCCTTATGCTCATTGACCCAGATGTCAAATGGCGGGGCACATTCAGAGCACTGCAAATCCGAGCCTTTAAGGAAATAAACTTAAAGAAACTAAGGATCAGGAAACTAGAAAACATACAATAAGCCAGAACGACGGCTTTTTCTAGGAATCAGCTGTAGTTCTTGTGATCCAACAGCAGGTTCTGGGCCCGGCTCTTCCTTTATTCACAAGCTTCTAGTGCCCAAACTCCAGGAATTTATTCTCAGGAACCACATCGCTCTGCTTCTTACTCACAAATGGTCTCCACTGTCTGTCTGCTGTCTGCTTCTAGCGACTCCTCTGTGACTTGCATTCAAAACATCCTGAGAGAAGATCCGAATACATCTGTTGTGTACTCTTCAACTAGAAGGCCCTTTTAGGCACTTGGTTTTCCTGATGGGTCACCAGGTTGATAACTGGCCTGCTTTAAATCTGGGTTGGAGGCCAACCCAGATTTGCCTTTGTGTACCAGTCCTCGTTCCAGACAATTGTGGCAGAGTCGCAGAACATGGAGAGGGAACTTTAAGCATCAGAAGCCACCTCTCAGGGACTCTATGTCAGTCCAACCTTTTTTTTTTGTGTGGAGTACCAAATAGTCCCTTTGCTTAGGCGCCATTTCTTTTGCTTCCCTAGCACAGTCTCCTCTGGGTACTTACTTCATTAGACTTTGTTCTCTGGTTGCCTGTGTTTCTGCTAGGGTGTAAATTCCTTAGGTCTCTGCCTCATTTCACTCAATATCCCCGTAGCTCTCAGCACAGAGGAGGGCCTCTATAAATATTTGTGACAGTGAATGAAAGTATAACAACACTTCAGTCCTGTCTCTCCAAGTAACTAATTCTCAAAAGCCCATTTCCCATTGTAAAGCAAACATACTGT